GAGGCCACGGGGCCCTTTGCTGGTTAGAGCCAACACAAGCCCTCTGTGGGCGCTGGCAGATTAAGACTCATTTCCACTCAGGAAAGAAATTCAACCACAACTAATAAAATAAAGGCAATAAATCACRGCTCCTCCAGCAGCTCTTCCTCCAGGAGCATCTATTTTTAGTGGGAAGCATCAATCACTACAGCTCTCGCCGTCTGCAACAGCTCCAAAACGCAAAACCCAGGTAGGCAGACTGGGCCAGTGTGGGCACACACACAGCCCCCAGCTGCACTGCYACTGTCCCCCAGCCAGCCAGAACACCACCACAGACAAGGGACACGCAGGAGGCCATCAGGCATGGCCACACCTCAGACTGGGGGACATTCCTCCATCCCAGATAGAAAAGAGGAGGCACAAGGCAACAAAGGAACAAAGGGATGTGCCCAAGGCCACACATTAAATCAGGGCAAAGCCAGGACCCGGCAGAACCACCCTCTGCCAGCCATGGAGCCCCTGCACAAGCACCAAGTTCAAACAGGACAATTCTTACACAATTATTAACATCGGGAGTTTTCCTCAAGCATCCCAACTTTTCCTCATTGGAGGCTCCGCAGCTCCGAGACAAATCCCTGCGTTCTACCAAAATAGCTCTCCCAGCATTTCACTGGGAGAGAGTGACACGCTGAGCACAATCATCACACCCAGATGAGAAAATCCACCCTGGAAATGTAAAACATAGGACCCTCCCCTGGAGAGATGCACCATTCCCACACGGAGCACACGGACACGGCACAGCAGCACCCACGGACATGCATGCAGCAGGCACGGCACAYGGAGCACGGGCTCCCACTGAACACACAAACCAGGCACCACGACAACACGAAATGACAACACAGAGCAGGGGTTCAAAGGACAAATTAAAACTAAAGCAACCATAAAAAAAAGAAACAAAAAAAACCCCAACAAAACAAACTTACATGAATTTTTGGCAATTTTCCTTCAGACATTATACACAGCAGCTGGGCTGTGTACTGAATACCTGATCCAAAAAGAAATATAACCACATTATGCAAACAGATGGGGGCAGGAGTCAGGTGAACATGCAGCTCTTAACAACAGTCATCTACGGGCTGAGAAAGYACCTCTGCACTCCCCCAGAAGGGCTCGCATCGGGCCAGATCTTCAGGMACCACAAAGCCAAAGCCGGGGCTGYGCTGCTGCCATCCCGGGGGAAAAGCCAAATGGCAGGACAGGGCAGAGCCACCGCGTCACAGACCTCTGAGCTGTCCCATCCCCTTTCACTTGTCATGTGAGGTTTTAAACAGAGGTGGGAAATAGCCAGGGTGGGGGAGGAAGCCTTTGGAAAGCTGAAAGGAAAGCACTTTATCTGCCTTAAAGAAAGAGCATTAAAACCGCCGTGCGGGCAGGACAAGCCGGGATCATCCCGACACGTAAGCTTTCTGGGAAGCGCCTGGAGAGGGGGGCTTCACCCTTTCCCCAYGCCGAGGAGGGTGCCGGAGTCTTTAAGACGGAGGATTGCTGCTCAGGAGGAACGGACTTTTTATGGACTGTGGGAAACAGGGTTGCTATGATACAGGCAGAGGCATTTTCATGAATCCTGTGGCAAATAACATTGAATCCTGCTTAAGCAGACAACAGCGAGGCAGGTCTCCCCTCACCCAGCCTCAGCAAACACACAGCAGCAAGCACTGCAAGAGATTGTATGCATCARAAATACGCTTTTTGCAGACAAATTCCTATTTTTTTTTCTTTGGGGTCGTATTTTCCAGAGGGTCAGCGCTTTGATTCCTTTAAAGCAGCAATCGCTGTGCCTCACTCCTGGGTTTGAACATCCCCACAGACGTGAAGAAAGCCAGGGGGAGTCACGGGGCCGGAGCACCCCCAGGGAACCGAGCGTGACCAGCCATGGATGGCCCCACGGAGCCCCGGGACAAGGAAAACTCCACTCCCAGCGATATTTCACAGCGTGCAAACGACCCCTGAAYGAGGCAGGGACAGTCCTCACAGGCACAGGGATCTGTGGGGACTGGGAGCACTGTCACCCCAAAAATCTCCCATGCCTGCCATGGGCTGGGGCGCCGCGGCCTAGCTGAGCAGGATGGGGGTGTTTGCCGGGCTCGGGGCTCCAGGAATGCCTGGGAATTGCCAAACTGCAAACCTGGGGGTGGGGCAGGGGCTCAAGACCGGGCTGAAGAGGTGCTCACTGAGGCCTGGGGTGGCAAACAGAGAGCAAACTGAACAAGCAGCAAGCCCAGCGCTCGCTGACTTTTTCAGCTCTTGTTTCCTCGCTTTCCCCCCAAAATTCCGACAGGAAGCCTGAGATAACAAGGTGCTGCTACAATAACGAAGTTTGCTGCTGCCAACTTTCATATTGCTCTGCGTTAACTTTCCTTCTTTAACTGCACCAGCCTTTGGGAGGATAAAAGGCAAAAAGCTGTAATAAAACCACACAAGTTCTCTCAAGCACGTTGCGTGACGGAAAAAACTCGGCTCCCGGCGCTCCCTCCCAGCAGCTGAGCGTGCACAACCCCTCGTCCTCCCCATGCACCCTCAGCACGCTCCAGCCCAGGGATGGAACCAGAGGGGGACCGCAGGAATGAGCCAGCAGGAACATCCACCACAGAACACACACAATTCCTAAATATCCCCCCAGGAGGACAAGCACTGGATCAAGGAATGCACCCAAGAACCTGCATCAGGTACGGAGCATTCCTCGTAGAAATCGTATTGAAAGGTAAACCTTGGTGCCAGAGAGCCCTGAGAAAATAAACATTCAGGCACAGCCACATCCCACATTAACTCGCTGGTCAGTTTTGGGGTTGGGTTTTTTCTCATTTTTCCATCCTCACTCCTCCAAATCCCTTTGTCGCTCACGGCTGCTCCCCTGAAAGGATGATTTTGGCTGCTGTTTGATCGATTCCCTCTCCATGGTGATCTCAGCTCATTTATTACATTTACAGGAGACTCTGCAACCTCTAAAACTAATGCCAGAGGATGGCTAACAGGCAATTCAAGCACATTCGAGCTGTTTAACAACCCAAACCATCTTCAGCATCAATTTTATTTACTCAGTTTTTTTTAGAGGAGAAGATTGACTCAGCCTGCTGTGAAGTGAAGCAGGTACCTCTTGCAGATAGCTACAAGTGAAGAGGGGGAAAGGGAGCCAGCAGGCACCGGAGCATCTCCCTGGGTTTGTATCGCTGGCTCCTGGCATTTCTCCCCATGAAAACAGGTAACTGCCCCATAACGCTTTTGGGGACGATTGTTCTCATCCTGGGACTCAGGGAWTTTTTTTTTCTCTTTTATTTACAGCTAAAAGCACTTTGACAGTGCCAAATTTGCCGGATTTAACTCAGTTTCCAATCATGCCACCATGGAAAAGCCATCGGTTCCTGAGCCCAGCTCAGCATTTAACTCCCATCTGATGGACCCTCACGGGGAAATAACCCCATGGCTCCATCTGTAACCTCCAGCTTTGTCTTTAGACATCAGTTACACTATTCTCTTTTTTTTAAGAGGACATCAGATAAATACCAGATAGCCAGAATTAGCATAAATKTGTTAAATTATCACGGTAATAAAATTGTAGTGGCCATCAGCAAGAGACAAAAACATTTTCAAACTGATTCTTTGGTTTGTTTTAAGCAATTCTGATTTTTCTGGAGGAGGAAATAATATATTTTTAAAAATCCATAAGACCTTTAAGAGAAGCACAGAACAGAGACATATTTTTCAGAGGAAAAGGCATCACTTTACAGACATTCCCTTCGTATTCTCTCCAAACTTCTCGTGCTGCCTCTGGAGCCCCCAGCCAGCCCTGCTTCCAAGCTGTAAACATTGCAATTTCGGGCTAGAAGCACCTCTAACTACTGGACACCGTTCCAGCAAGCCCATAATATACAACTTAGCACTTCATTTTCCAGAAAATCAATGTAAATAAAGTCACGCAAAGCAACCCATCTCAAAAGCTCGTTACCCTTGAGGTGGGCAAAGATTTTTCTTAGAYACATTCCCCAAAATTTGATATATACACACACACAGAGGAAAGAAAGAAAGAAAAGCAAGCCAAAATCAGATTTCTAGAAAATCAAAGCAAAACCCAACCTCTCCGAATCTGTTGCTTTAGCAAAGAAAAACAAAGCTTGCATTGCCCTTTTTCCCTTTGATCTTTCCTTTCCAATTTGCCGAGACAGAAACCACGTACAACCAGAATAAAAAGCCAGCAGGTTATGTTTCAGTGCCTCTCAGATCTCTAAAAAAAGGAGCTGGGTTACATCAATGTGGACATAGAATTTGGAGGCTTTGGGGCTGAATCTTGAGAAATCAAATCAGATCATCAAGGCAACACAGATAAATACAGTAAGTAGAATTTTTTTTCTCCCGTTTCTTTTTTTGTGGCTGAATGTTATTTTAGCAAAGATTTAATCCTTTAATAGGATTTCTCATCCCCCCCTCCCTTTAAAAACATCCATAGTTCGATTCCATTGCACACACCGGCATCTCTCACCTGGCACCTACATGGTTACTCTCACAGACATTGCACATTAACTTCTCGCTAGAAATCGCACACAAAATGACTTCTTATTAACTTGAGCCTCCATTCCAAAGGAAAGCAAAACAACACAGCCAGTGCTCACCACAGACACATCATTTCCACTCTGCTTCTGCCTAAAGAAGCACAGCTCTATCTCACTAGCACAACACCACAGAGCACTGGAGCACTGTTATTATTTATCACATTTCAAACCCCGGCAAAAGCAGCTACACTTACAGGCATACTTAAAAGACAAGACATGACAAAAGATTTAGGGAGAGATAATATACCAACGTCATACATATCACAGCGAGGCCATGTTGAAGCTCAACGCGTTTCCCCCCTCAGTAAGAAATCTCTCTCTCTCTTTCTCTCTCTCTCTCGCCTTTCTCTCTCTCTCTCTCCCGCTCGTGCTCTCTTGTTGAATTGCTAGTGGTAGTAGTAGCCCCCAACAGCTCAGGAGAAAAAATCCATTTAACGAGTGCCCAGGAAGAACATGAGTATGACATTCACAAGCAATAGCACCACAATCACTGCAAAAACGACCACCGTTTGAACATCCAAGGTCATGGTGCAATGCAGAACACTGTAGTGTTCGAGGTGTGGGGCTGGCAGATTTGGAGAAGTCAACCTCTGCTCTGTAAGACTGTCCATACATCCACCATGCTAGAATAGAGGAGAAAACTGTTCCTGGTTTTGGGTTGGTTCGTAATGCTTTGTGCTCTGCCTTTAGTTTCTCCCCTATCTGCTGTCTCTAGCTCATTCTGAGCCCGCTAAGTGAAGCATCATCACAACCAGTGAGCACTTGGGATGCAAAATCCTTCCTTTAGGAAAAGAGCGAGCGCTGTCTGCAAGCTTCTCTCTCTGTCTCGTCCCCCCTCTCTCTCCCGGTCTCTCTCTCGCTGGCTGGCTCGCGTTTTAATTCGTCAAGCCAGTGCAGATACGGAGCCCGTGTGAGTGTGACAGCTCTGCAAGCTGCTGCGGCTGCATCCCTCGGAGCGAGGCGGGCCCTGGCGCATACTAATCAGCTCCAGTGACCAGGCAGCGACGGCATCCTGCCTGTCACTCAAACGCAGGAGGAAGCGCTGGCTCCATAAATACGCGAGGCTTCCGCCCGCCGTGACAGCGAGCGCCACGCAGCCGCGGCTCTGCCCCGCGCTCCTGCGGCAGCGCCGATGCTCCGGACAGCCGGCTCCCGGGGCGGCTCCCGGGGCGGATCCCAGCCGATCCCAGCCGATCCCAGCTGATCCCAGCCGATCCCAGCCGATCCCAGCTGATCCCAGCCGATCCCGCTCCTCGCCGCCTCGGGACGCGGCTGCTCCGGCCGCCCCGCCCGCACCCAGCTTCCCTGGGAAACAGGAGCCACCTGAGCCCCAGAGCCTGGGAGGGGAGCAGGAGCAAAGCAGCCAAAATAACGTACAGGCAACCCTTGGTAACCTGGCAATTCGCTGTGAGACTGGAATCTGGGAAKTGGGGAGGGGGAATCACGTTTTAGCTGTGTACAATCATCCCACACAAATCCCTATAACCTCTCCTCTCAGCACTGCACTGGCTGTCTCCATCTGCGGGTTAAACTGAATTTTCAGTCTACAGCCAGAGACCCATAAAAGAGGGGGAGGACAGATGGAGTGTCTTTATTCCTCCTGCAGCAGCCAGAAATGCTCATTCCTACATTAAAATTGCACACACACTCAGGGTTATGGTCCAGGTGCCAGGTGCTATCCCAAACTTCAACCTTGGATCCCAGAACAAGCAGTTACCTCAGTGAGGCATCACAATGCACACAAACCAGATACACTCAGCTGGAAAAAGCAAATGATTTTCCAGACAAAGACAAATATAGAAATGCTGCCAATGCATATGCATAATGCACTAAAATGTGCATCCGGGGGCTGAGCACGGCACCTTCCAGGAAAGCTGCGCCTCCGAACGTTCCCGCACAGACATGAGGCCAGCGGGCACCGAACGAGCGCCTCGTTTGTTCTCCAGCAACAAAGAGGGAGAGTGTGGGGGGACTTCAACGGTTAAACCTGGCCAGCTTCATGTTTTGACCTCAGCTTCAGCACCAAGGGGCAGCCTGTTGTGCCAGCACAACATCCCTTCCAGCGCTCCAGCATTTGGGGAAGGGGTAGGGGGTCATGTTCCTACCCCAGCTCACCACTCACACCAACATCCAGCTGTTGACTGCARGGCTTATTTTCATTTTCTTCCTTTSCCAGAACSCTCCCTCAAAAAARGGCAGCTCTTGTATCCACCCCAAACATGGAAAGACAGAGCATGTCAGGGTCTCCACAGGATCTCCTCCCAGGCCTCCACTGTGCCCCACTGGTCTGTGCCACACCAACCCTCAGGCAGCACCACGCTCCTCATTTCTGACCAGCTCTGGAGCATGTGTGGGCCAGGATGTGCTCGTCGATGCTGAGGGTGGGTGGATTGTGTTGAGCAGTGTTAGAAACAAGAACAGCTTGGGTGCATTAGGGGKTTTATTTTGGGTGTAAGTGTCAGGCAGAAGCTCCCTCCAGCCTCTGAGGCCCCTACTCTGTTCAAGCAAGGAGTTTCTTACTCAGAGGACACTGAAAAGCTCTTTTTCACTGTGTATTCACAAGAAGCTGCTTTAAAGCTGCCCCAGGCTGCCCTGTTAGCACACGTGCCAGGCTGGATTCAGGGGATGGATCTGCCTCATCCCCAGATTTCCTATCAAGGAGCCATTTTTAGGCTAGYCAGTCTGTCTGATGTAATTTTAGACTAATCAGAATGGCAAAAACAGAATCATAGAATGATTCAGGTTGGAAGGGACCTCAGAGATCGTTTATTTCCAACATGTAATATATGTGGAATATTTATTATTATTGCTACCATCCTTTCCCAAAACAACACAGGCAATTTTCCAAAACATAAACCTGAACTTACAAAAACAGCCAGGAAATCCCAGTTTCAGTCTCACAAGCAACAATGACTTCTCCAAAAATGTAAACCAGCCCAAATTTAGAGAGATTTTATGGCCGGTTTATCTTCTCCTCTAAACTGCAGTGAGCACGGAGGGAGGCTGKGTCTGGAGCCCGGAGGAGATGTCAGAGGAAGGCCAGTGGAGATGCTGTGCTGCTCCCCAGGGCAGCAGGCACAGCCCATCCCCGGCTGTGTCCTCTGTCCGCCCAGACCGGGCAGCACAGCGCRGTCTCCAGGCAGCCTCCCCTGCGCCTTCGCACACAGAGGGGAGCAGAAGAGGGGCAGGGGGAGCAGCAGAGGCCCGGGAACGCTCCAGAACAAAGGTGAACACTSACACATGCTCACTGGGCACTTCCGGAGGGAACCGGAGGGTTTCAGCGCCGGCACGGAGCGGGCAGGGCAGGGGCAGGCGTTCTGCAGCAGCGGAGCCACTCAGAGCGCAGGGGAGGGCACGGAGCTSGAACGGAGGCACAGAGCCAGCCCCTGCTGAGCTGCCGCCGGCTGTGGGTCCCCAAAACCCCACCACGGCTGTGCCAGGAGCCACCGGGGCTGTGGGGACCCCAGTGCTGCCGGGGGCCTGGAGAGCCCGGGGGTGCTGCATCCCGGGAGGCGCAGCCGCAGCATCCCCTGSCCGGGCCACACCCAGAGCGAGCACCCCGAAGGTCAGGCAGCAAAGCACCGGGTGCCTCACCTCACCCACAGCCAGGCTCGGGGCTCCAGAGGAAGCTGTGTGTGTAACAGCCACCGAGAGTGAGCCGCACAGACACATTTACTGCACAGAAGCTTCTATTTCAATGATATTCACAGTATTCCCAATAGTACTTGCTGCTTTATATAATTTCCCATGCTTTCTGCGTGCACTAAATGCTAATTTTACTATGAAAATGGATGGGACCTTCTCTTCGAAGCGTTTCTGATAAAGCACACCTACACGGCAGGGGTTTATATAAAACCACAGCAAAGTTTAACTTCACGGAATGCTTTCTGGGAAGTTCGGTCTAACCTTCTGTACAGAGCGAARCCGGGAATGAGAAGGGAAGATTTGTACCAGTTACATAAAACACCACGTCCCTCTCTGCACAGAACATGCCCTGACACTCCAATAGCTTCGGCCAGCACAGTTTGTGATGCAGGATCAGCGAGGGCTTGCGCTGGATGAGRAAGGAAATTGTAATTTCAGCACCTCTCCGGAGGGACAGCAATCAGGGAAGGAGCCGGGGTTCGCACTCTCATCACATCCCTACAGCTTTGTACCTGCATCAATCTGACACACAGATCGGAAACAGAGAATTCTGCACTCCCAAAKAACAGACAGACAGAGGGGCCCTATTCTGACATGAATTACAACACGGCAATTTGGGGGGCAAGCCAAGGAAGCGGGTGATGCCAAATCCTTCCATGCGGAACGCACCAGGCTCAGCCTTGTGACCACGTCTCCCTCCAATGGATGTCTCCAGTAATTAGCACATCCCACTCCTTGCAGCTCAACAAACACAGCTCCAACTCAGCAGCCAGGATCTGGGATTTRAATGCTTACAGGTCCTGGATTCTCCCTGCAAGGACAGGTCTGTGGTYCCCATATGAGCTGGCTGGACAGCCAGGGGTGTGGGGCTGTTTGTTGCTTCAGCTCCAATTCCCTGTCCTGCCGGAGATCCCTGTGCAGATTAACAACCTCCACTCCTGGACATGCAGAGGTATCTGTGTTTTCCCAACACATCAGCTCCACCTTCCATTAACTGGGAAAATGAGGCACTAAACTCAGTGCAGACCCAGTGAATTCTGACCATGCCGCTGTAGGGAATGGTGTGGATGAGCTCTGGGATGTGACAGGAGGACCCCAAACTTGCTATCCTTTGCCAGAGGAGATAAGTCTCTTGGTGAATCTGGGAAAATTTCAAACAGATCAGCTTGGTTTGTGATTCTGAGTGGGAATAAAATCGGTGTGGAAGGATGAAATCCATGGCCAAGGGGCAAACACTGCTGGTGACTGAAAGTTGCAAACTGCTTCAGTTGTTTCACATTCCCTCTTGGAGCACAAGCCCCATCCCAGACCTATATGGCACCAGGGAGGAAGTTTAAACTTTCCAGTTGAATTAACACTGCCCCCCAAAAAGGAACAGACAGCAGCAGTACCCAGGGATGTGTGGGCACCTGCTCCTCCATTGCCAGTCTCCTGTGCCAGGCACTTAGGGCCACTGCTGTGACGTGGGACACCATGTGGGGGTGACTCATGGGCTCCATYAGAGATTATAAGAAAACCATTAAATTATTTTTTGTCTAAATTTAGGCAGGAATTAAGCTCAGGGTTTCAGAGATTAAAGGCCAGTGAGATTACGATTTGCTGTTTCCAAAAAGGAGGATTTCCTTAAGCTGGGAGTTGCCTCTTTTTCCTTTCTCTTCACAGTGTATCTGACAGAGCCCTCTTTTCCATCCTGGGCCAGATGGGAAGCCTACAAGCTGCAGAACTGCTGCAAAGGGCAGACTTTTCCACGAGAATCTCCATAACCTTTCATGTTTATAGAATGGCTTCATGGAAAGCTTTAAAAATCCCCAAACCTGAAAATTCCTTATCCAAACTGAAAAATGGAGGAATATTTGTAAAGGCTTGGACTCAGTGAGCTGATTTCAGCAGTTAAAAATTAACTTTCCAGTCACCCACAGCTGTTGCCTGTCCACTCCATCCCTCAAATGGAAATGAAATTAAATGAAAGCTTCTTCCCTGTCCACATGATCTTGGGACTTTTTTTCCAGTGATTTCCTCTTTCTAAAGAACTGCACAAGTTGAGAGTTGGTGAAGCAGTGAAGTGGGAGAGAAGGTGGATGTGGGAGAGAGCAGGGAAGGAGTACATGAAGCAAGTGCCCCAGAAAGAGAAGCAGGAAGTTTCTGAGGCYAATTCTGCAATGTTGAGAGTCCACAGGGCACTGCTGGAGGCTGAGTTCAGCTCCACCTGCAGTACCACCTGGCCAAGAGTGCTGCACAAAGCTCTGAGGCCACAGKGAAGGACCTGAGCATCTCT